ATGACAGGAACAACTGTAATGATAGTAACAATACGAATAACAGTCATAATACTAGTAACAGTATCAATAGCATTCGTATTCGAGAGTAGTAAGAGTTCTAATCGTGATGATAATCGTAATGAAAGTAATTGTAGTTACGAAGATACATAATGACGGTCATAATTAGGTCAGTAATACTAGAAGCACCAGTGATAATCGTAAGCATAGGTATACTGGCAAATAGTAATTGTAATGATAGTACCAATAGTTATAGTTCGAATAGAACTTAGAGAAAATAGTAAACCAGTAATTAAAACAAGTAGTGAAAGTAATGTAAGAACAGTAATAGGAATCATGGTACGAATAGTAGTAATCATCGCATGGGTTATTTACATATACAGCGAGCCACTAGATCTACGGTTGAAACTATGGGCCCCTAGAATGGGCCCTTAACCCCCGGATCCTCATATACCTATTAGATACCCTATACGTACCCTTAAGGTTCCCTAGAATCCCCCTAAATTGCCTAGGGACCCATATTAGAGGCCCATACTTTGAACCTTCCACTAGAGAGTTGGTAGTTTCCCAAAATAGGGGGACCCCAATATAGACCCGAAGATCTAATCCTTATTAGTGGGACCCCAAAATGGTACCTAAACCCTAAACCCACCTAAACCCTAAACCTTAAACCCTAAACCCTAAACCCTAATTTTGGAAATCCCCTAAGTTTCCTCACAAGTTCTTGAGCTGGAGGGCCGCGCCATTGAGCTGCTGGAGCTGCAGCGCGCAGTTCATTCAGCCTGGTGTCAGACCCTGAGATCGGGTTTAGGGTTTAGGTGGGTTTAGGGTTTAGGGTTTAGGTGGGTTTAGGGTTTAGGGTTTAGGTTTTAGGTGGGTTTAGGGTTTAGGGTTTAGGAGGGTTTAGGGTTTAGGGTTTATGCTGTGACGTGAGAGTTTCTGCAGACAACCCGACCTAATCCCTTATAGGGACACCCCCCGACAATCCGTGTTTAATCGATGATATGAGTACTTCAGGGCCTAGGGGCCTCCATCTTGTAAGCAAGCGCTAGTGCATTTCTACCTTGGCTGCCTGGCTTGCGGCAGGCAGGACAACATCGTTACTCGCATTAGCATGAGTACTGTTATCAGTATCATTACTGTTACCTTTATGACTGTTAGTACTATTGTTACTATTAACCCTAAACCAAAAACCCTAAACCAAAAACCCTAAACCCTAAACCCTAAACCCTAAACCCTAAAACCGAACCCCCAAACTTTCTTCTTAGTGTTATCGTCGAGTTATCGTGTGTAGGCTTTTTACTCCGGGACCCCAGCATAGAGTAAGATCATATCCTCTTTTGAGGGACGGTTTGGTGAGAAGCTTGTAATTTTAGGGGTTGAGGGGTTTTGGGGTTTAGGGATTAGGGTTTAGGGTCTAGGGATTCGGGTTTAGGGATTAGGGTTTTGGGATTAGGGTTTGTCCACAGAAGAACTACTCATGTGGAGTTTCAGCATCTAACTTGTGCCATGTCTGCTGAAGATTTTGTGGCTTCTGTCAAGGTCTAGGGCCTAAACCCTGAACCCTAAACCGCAAATCCTAAGCCCCAAACCCTAAAACCCAAACCCTTCAACCCTAAACCCTAAACTCAAGGCCATAAACCTTGGCCGTGTATCCAGGAGGAGGTTTTAGGGACCTGACAGTTTTGGGAGTGTTCCGGGGGTACTGCCCTTTGCCATGAACCTATATAGTACATTGGGGTTATACAGGGATGATGGAAAAGAAAATGGAAGCTAATATATGGTATATTCGGGTTATATAGGGATAGTGGACATCTGTATTCTAAAAGAGCTGTATACCTAGAGATTTCAAGGGGATTCAGCTATGACCATTTAGGATAACAATTTTTGGGGTGATTATAGGAAGCTCCCACGAGCGCTTTTCCAAGACGTTGATGAGTTTGGAGGTTCGTGAAAATTTCGAAGCCAGAGGTTTGATTGGCTCTGGGGGCTTGATCAGCTACTGGTATGCATTGGACATTTCATCCCTGACATCATCAGCGTTGGACATTATCAGCTTCTGGGGCCTGCTACATGGGATCGGGCGTTACTTTTCGGTGGCGGATGATCAAGACACTAAATTGTAAGCAACATCGGGGCACACTGCAAGTGTACATGCTGCAACCTAGTCCACCATGATGGTACATGCGTGGGTGGAGATTGAACAGTGCAGCTTGCAGCAAATGCTTTCAAGTGTGAAGTGCAAGATTCTAGAGGTTCGGCTGTGAGACTATAAAGGAAGCCGGCTGAGGGCCTCCGGACCTGGTAATGGCTAGGGTTTGGACTAAGGTCTTTGAGTTTACGGACTTGTTTGGTGCTTGTTGCGGAGTTACAAGCCCTGCCAAAGGCATCGGCCGAGACAGTCGCATCTGACCCCACCCCTTTGTCCACGAGGTAGACAGTGACTAGGTAGGCTTAACTAAATGCAAGCAATCCCACTTAAACGGATTTTGGGTCATGATCTGCCTAACATCTGATCGTTTTTCTCCCGAGGATAGCGACATCAAACCCAGGCTTCGATGTAGATTTTTGTATTTCTGCCTCCCCCCCCCCCCCCCCCCCCCCCCCCCCCCCCCCCCCCCCCCCC